GGGTGGCTGGGTCTCCCTGCGCCTCTCCTTGTCTGTAAAATGGAGCTAACGGGCCAAGGGCAGCCGTGAGGAGAAAATTAGCGGTGCTGGACGCCTTGAGCTCGAATCAGGGCAACGAGAGCACAGCGTAAGCGAGAAGGTCCTGTCTTGCAAACAGGCTGTGCAGTGCCCTGGTGGGGCTTCCCCCCGCCTTTAGCCTAGTGTGCAACAAGCAGCCGAATAAAATACATTGCATTTGTCTCCTGAGGAGGGAAAGAAGTGCCCTGCCCTCTGGCATCCCTGCCTGGATGAGGGCAGGGTCCTGTTTCATGGCGCGAGGACACCCGCACCCAGACTGCTGCTTCTCTCAGCATCTCTGCGTGACCGGGTGTCCTGGGCTTTTCTTGGCAGCAAAAGCTGCACAAAACCACAGAATGGTCGGGGTTGGCAGGGACCTCTGTGGGTCACCCAGCCCAACCCCCTGCCCAAGCAGGGTCACCCAGAGCAGGCTGCACAGCACCGTGTCCAGGCGGGTCTTGAGTATCTCCAGAGAAGGAGACTCCACAGCCTCCCTGGGCAGCCTGGGTCAGGGCTCCGTCACCCTCAGAGGGAAGAAGAAAAACCCTCAGCCTCTCCTCGTAGGAGAGATGCTCCAGTCCCCTCCTCATCCTCGCAGCCCTCCGCTGGACGAGAGTAGCTCCTCATCTTCCTTGAACTGGGGAGCCCAGAACTGGACAGAGTACTCCAGATGGGGCCGAGCTGCCCACGGGTAGAACTCAGCTGTGGTCTTCAATTGCAGTGAAGATAACACATGGGAGCCGGAGGAGAACCTCGACTGCCCAGACCTCATTGCAGAGTTCCTTCAGTCCCAGAAAACCGCACACGAGAGCGAGAAGTCCGAGGGAAGCAAGCGCAAAGCGGAGTCTGACACGGAGGATAAAGGGGAGGAGAGCAAACCAAAGAAGAAGAAGGAGGAGGTGAGCTGGGGTGGGGTTTCTGCGCTCACCTCCTTACCCCTGCGCTTGGCACAGTGTCTAGCAGCTAGAGCGGCCGCGCTCCAAAACCTCAGTCAAAACCAAACCGTTCTCCTGCGTTCTCCTGCGTGGAGGGAAAGCTGTCGCACCTCAGTGTGACACGGCTGGAGCGCTGCCGAAAAGCTGTGGCTTTCGGGGGGAGGCGCGAGCTGTTTTCTAAGCTGGGCTGCTTAGAGCCAGTCCTAGCACTAAGCTGAAAGGCCGGTTCTTGAAGCAAAAGGCTATGGAGCCCCAGCTTCTCCAGAAGAACCGCACAGGGGCTGAGCTGGGAGGCAGGAGTTGCCTCTTGAAGAGGGAACAAGGTGGAGCGGAGAGCCTCCTGCTCAGGGTGCTTGTAGCTGCTAGGGAAAAGGGACGGTGAAAGGCTCCGCAGTCTGGTTTTCATCCCGGGAGCCGCTGAATCTCGGCCAGCACAAGAGTTTAACCAGCGGGCCCTTGGAAATCAGATCCTCTGCTCGCAGCGTGAGCAGGGCGCTCGGCTGCGCTGCCCGCGGCCTGGCGGGAGGTCACCTCTGCGCGGTGGCTTTGCACCCAGGCGGTCCTTAGTCGTTACAGCCCGAGCGTCTGATATGCAGAGCCTTGCTGAACAGCCACCGGTGCGTCCTGGTGACCAGGAACAGGGCTGTGGCTGTCACCCTGGTGATGCTACAAGCGGAAACTTATCTCTTTTCAGTCGGAGAAACCGCGAGGCTTTGCCCGAGGATTTGAGCCGGAGCGAATCATCGGTGCCACGGATTCCAGCGGGGAGCTCATGTTCCTGATGAAGTGGTGAGTGTGTCTTTGTGTCTGTCACTTCTTCACTTATTCTGTGCCAGAGAGGGAAGGACCTGCACCCGGGGAGTCCCTGCTACCTGGCATGAAATCTTTCACGATGGCGCTGCTGCCTGAGGTGACCCTCTGCGCTGAGGCTAACGTGGATGTGAAACGAGCAGGTAGGGCCCTTGGGATCGTGTGGCTCTTAAGATGTCCCCCCGCAGCAGGCGCGAGCTTGGGGAGAGAGAGGGGCACGGTGTCGTGGCACGGGCTGCAGTTTCAGAAGGCTGCGCCGAGAGGAGAGCCGTGACGATGACCGCGTCCCCTTTGGCTGTAGTGACACAGGGCTTGTCGCTGGCGCAGGTGGGAGCCAAACCAGGCGGAGGTGTGCGAGCCGTCCGCTTTCGCACCGTCTCAGCAGTGCGGAGTGGCTGGGGGCAGGGCCACAGCTTTGATTCGCCTTCTCTCCCCATCCCCGACAACAGAGAGCTGAACTCAAGCCTGAATTTTTCCTGGGCTCACGCGCTGCTTCTCCCTGCTCCAGAGCCACTCGGGAAGGGGTCACTCGGATACCCGGAGCGCCTCAGGGACTCCATTTACCTGCCGCTTCTTGATTTTTCTCCGGTCTCCACTTCTTCCACCTCCCCTCCACAGCCCCCTAACTTGCACCTCTGCTCTGGCCTGTAGGAAGAACTCGGACGAGGCCGACCTGGTCCCTGCCAAGGAAGCCAACATCAAGTGCCCGCAGGTGGTCATCTCGTTCTACGAGGAGAGGTTGACATGGCATTCCTACCCCTCAGAGGACGATGACAAGAAAGAGGACAAGAACTAAGCCCCGGCACCCGCTCTGGCCAGCCTTTGTATAAAGATCTGAACTGTGGGTTTGAGCAAGAGGGAGAGAACGCAGCTCTGCTCGGTCGGGAGCGTAGAGATGGCTGGAGAAGATGCCCTTTGAAGAGACCAGTATGGTTTCTGTGCCCTGCAGCTGCTCAACTGCTTTATGCAGCTTCACGCTGTGTTCAGATTCAAACCAGCCCTTCCATGAAGGACGATCACTGGCGATGGGTGGGCTGGGGAAAGGGAGTGCAGATGGATACTGCTTATTCTTCAAAGACCATCTCAGCAACCCACAGCCTTCTTCCCAATAGTGTTAATTCTGCATTTTTACAGCGTAGCATGTGTGTAGGTTGTTTTTGTTTTTGTTTTTTTTTCTTTTGCTATTTACTGGTGTATTGGTTTGGGGGGTTGGGGGGAGGGATGTGGGGAAATTGGTCTCTTCTTTAATTGGGGAGGGAGGGAGATGAGCTCTGGTGACAATGTTCCAAATCATTTCCAGATCTTTTGTAGAACCTGAATTCAGAAAAGAAAAAAAAAGCTGGGGGGGGGGGGCG